CCGCAGCAGACCGGCGACATACAACTGGGGAGGCTCGACTGTCATCACTGGCGTCCATGAATCGAGAAGGACTTCTTACTGGAACTGAAACGATGTACTGGGATTAAACTCTTTAATTTTCAGTAAGTGACAAACTGCGTTTGTTTTTTTACATAGTAACGTTACTGTTCATTTGTCTATCGTGTCGTTTTTATGAATAATATTTGAATGGCTCCTGCTCTTGTGTGGTGGAATAAGTGGATCCGCTGCAGGTTTGCTGGATTGATGTTTCATAATGAGGTTATTAGGAGGTAATTCAACTGTAGTAGGACAGCACAGAAGGCCCAGGTATAAAATGCACTGCCCGCCACTGCATTTTAGGTAATCTGCATTAACTAAACTCCACAACTTTTGATCTTCGTGTATTTTTTAAATCATTTTTAATCTATTTCAGGAAAATCAAGTACTTAAATGCACTAATACACTAAAACGAATGTACACTGGCACACACACAAATCTTGGCTCTTTCAGCTAAAACTAATAGAAGTGTCCAGGTGGTATACAGTTGCTTTTTCTTTTTTATAATTGCCAATTAAAAGACCACGGATGAAGCCAATTTTGTTGTCATATTGTTGTTTCCCTGGGAGAATGATGGTATTGGGGTTAGATATTTATGGTTGTATTAGTTGTAGCTCTTGCGTTCTAATGTGAGCAGTTAAAATTGACGATATAGTTTTTACTTGGTTGGTGTTAATGTGAAATAAGGGTCAGAGACTGTGACAAAAACTGACACTGACTACATCACCATAATCACTGCAATCTATGTGAAACTGGATACAAAATTGACTAAGTACTTTGTGTAAGTCGCTTGTCTTCAATGTGTACAACAAGCCTATTGCTGTTTAATCATTACATTTTTACGGTATACCTGTTTTTAAACCCAAATGAAATACTAAAACATTAGCCCTCATCAACATGGTACGCCTGAGACTAATCAGATAAATTGGGCCTTTCCTTTTGTTGGTACACTAGCTGCCACATATTCCTGCCTATTTTGAGTAGTTGCTGAATTGTTTTCAGAACTTCTTGGAACAGAAAGTTGTATTTCTGTGACTGATGATGCTGTTTGTTTCTTTCCTTAATTCAGGATGTTCAAGTTGATAGAGTTCCAGAACAACAAAACGGTAGCAGTGGTGCCACAAAGCTGGTAGAGTGATGGTGTCACCTTCTGGCCAAATTACAAGTGTGATGACAGAGTGGACAGGGATGTCAAAAATTATTTTTCTAACCCACTTTATAGTAATTTCTTCGGGGACTCTGATGATGACAGTGAGAAGGAAAGTCCTCCAAAAAAGACAGCCAGAGGTCCAACCACTAGCAGCACAGTTGCCACTCCTCCACCTCTTCCACTCTCTCCATCACCTCAAAAATATTTTTTTGTGAAATCAGTCTTCATCAGTTGTCCAAAGAATGTTTTAACCAAATTATAATGTTCTTTTTTTAATAGCTGCTCAAGTTCATATTATGAGCTTACTGGAGAACATGAAACACCAGCAAGACCAATTAATTGACAGAGTAAACTATCTCACCAACAAGCTACACACAACTGGCCAAGAAATCGAAGTGACTGACCCAGTACAGTTTCCATTTAACTCAACAAGCTACACACAACTGGCCAAGAAATCGAAGTGACTGACCCAGTACAGTTTCCATTTAACTCGATGGAGGAAGTGGAGCATGACTGTAAAGATCCCTTCAAACTATAGTTTCCTTTGAAGTAGAGCTCATTTTAGTGCAGTTTCTTTGAGCAATTCAAGTATATTCATTTTCAAAAAGTGAGGGATCACTTTAACAAGAGAGGACTTTTCGGGAATATAAGTATGAAAGGCATCTGGAGCAACTGCATGTTCTTTGTAATACTAGTATTGACTATAAATGTGTCCCTGAAAACACTGAATGATAAGAGCTTTCTTTCTTATCCTTTTGGGGCTTTTATGATGCTATTTGAAAGAGACTTTGCTGATTTAAATTTTTTGGCACTTTCAGCGCCGCAAGCCGTATGCTATATAGTCATATTTTATTGGAGAGAAGGCACACATCTCTACTGATATGTCCAGCAACTCACACCAAAACCATCTAGATTGATGAATAGCACCACGGGTAAGAGGACAATGTGTTTTTGATTTTGAGTGAACTTTCACTTTAATCATCCAAATATGAATATTTGTATAAAGCATTTACACTGAATCACTGGGCATGGCATTGTATCTCATATTTCCATGTCACTGAAATTGCTCTTGTTTCAGGCCCAGAAATTCCACTGCATTTCCAGCAAGCAATTTATCCTGCAAAACAAAAGAGTACACACCATGTTGACTACTCGATTGGACTTGCAGTTAGTTTTTAAAACGTATTAATTCACGCGCTTACATTTTGAAAGCAGAATCAAAGATATTTAGAATGGCTCATTAAACATTCTGCCAACGACTAATAGTACTGTGCCTTTTGCACTACTGCTGATAAGCATGTTCTACCTGGCTATGTGTTACACAGCAGTACTGAGGCAGCAGCACTGTCAAAATTAAGGAGAGGAAAATGTTACCTTCAGTGTGTCATCAAATTCATCCATCGACTCAATCAGGGATCCAGGCTGCAGCTCTCCCAGCGGGAATGGATAGTCTGTTCCCAACATCACTTTATCCTGAAAGAGAAATGCATGCACGTTAACTTGGAAAACTACGCTATAGCGCTAAACATGTAGTGAACATCCACAGTATCTATACCCACACACTCTCCACGATCAAAACTGGCAACATTGTTCTCATTGTGTGTGTGTGTGTGTGTGTGTGTGTGTGTGTGTGTGTGTGTGTGT